TACTTCTGCATTTGAAAGCCCAAGGAACATCCTTATTATGCTCCTTCACGTGCCCTGAACACAAGCACAACACTGCACCAAACATCTTGCAGCTCTTCACTCAGAAAGCAGCACCAGCACCTCCAAGACCTGGTGAATCTCCCCAGTTCTGCTCCAATTCTGCCTCACAGCACACTGGAGAACCCCTAAAAATGTTTGCTCTTTGTGTATTTACCTCTCAGTTTGGAAATAATAAGAGTAGAGGGTTGATGCTCAAGTGATGAAGACAATTCTGGTCCTAAAATCTAAGAGAGGTTTCATTTTTCATTACTGGTCTGTTTGCTGGGAGCAAACACCTGCACAGCTTCCACACTGCTTATGCAAATGTCAAAACAGTGCATTTGCTCTGCATCAAGAGACGTTTGGGGGAGGAAAATAAGAGAACACACAACAGGAGGCAAAATGAATGCTAAGTCTGCAAGGCAGGAAGAAAGAAGCTTCAAGAACAACAGGGAAAAAAGGGTCACAAAAAGTCAAGACAACGTAATCATTAAAGTCCTCTTCTCAAAACACTGCAGATTAACAGCCATAAACTTGCATGAAATCAAGAGAAAATCACATTTTTTACATATACAATATATATACACACACACATATATACACACTGACATGAGCCCATTCCCCATGAATACCAGATTCAGGTTATATTTGTTTGCTTTGCAGACTCCTGACAATCCTCCCACACTTGGAATATTTGAATTCATTAATTCTTACAAAAATTAGTGGTTTTCTTCCACTCCTAGCAAGGTGAGAAAATTTAAGTTTCTTCACCTCAAATTATTATATACATTTTAAATCTATAAGTCCAGTTATAGAAAAAATGAATGCAACTCAATTTCAGACATAACAAATAGCACTAAAGTGATCAGGTTCCATGAGCTCATCCAACCAGGAAAGTCTGACACTGGAAGTGCAGCATTTAACAAAATTCCCCAAACCCAAAAGGCACATTCTTTGTGCAAATCTCTTTTGGACTGGTACACAGCTCATATGCACTGACTGCTGTAACCTCCTTCTTTTCCATGACAAATGAAAGAACTGAGAAGGTTCCCATGCTCCTGACCAGGAAAAGGCTCTCTGGCATTACCCATTTAGGACAAAACAGCAACTGCTGCTTCCTGGGCTGACTGGAGGAGCAAAGGAAGATGCAGTGAGAGCAATCAGGATGTGATGCTGTTTTTATGCCTGTGTTTACAAGTCTCACCACAGTTCCTTCCCTGGTAAGCTGTTTACTCATAAATGGGACAATTAGCAATCCCCCAGGGACTCCCATCCCTGCTGTGAGAACACCAGCCCACACTGCAATCCTCTGTCTGACTTCACATCTGTCAATCTGCATTTCCCTCCCTCCCTTTACTCAATTAGTCGGAATACAAACCAACCAGGATGATAAACTCTCTGGAATTGTTTCTCTCTGCTTCTCTTTGGAACTGGAGGTGGGATTTTGGCTTTGGGACTGACACAGCCATCATTTACCCATCAGATGTTCCAGATTCGTGGCAGGCAGATCACAATACACACACACACAGAGGCAGCAACAATCCAGAAAGAAACTTTTCATTTCTTAATTCATTCTTCCACGCAGTGGGTAACAATTCAAACAGCATTAGCAATGCCTTCTGGAGACACTATCACAGGCTCTGCTTGGAGCTCAACATGACAGAATATGCTACACAGAGTTCAATATTAAACCAGAAACATGTGCCAGCACTTCTCCCCCCTCCAGTAATTCAAGCAAGCAGTTGCCAGGGCGTTAACCACATTCTCCCCAGGGCAATTATGTTCAGCCACTGGGTGGTTTTTACTCTTTTTTTCCACCTTTTTTTTTTTTTTTAATTCAGCATCTACTTCTATTCAGCATCTACTTCAAAATGCTGAAATGAGTTTAGAGTTACAAATGTATGCCTTGTATATCTCTGTCTGTCAGACCTGCTGCCAACAGCCACACAAATGTGTAAGGTTAACCTTCTCCAGAGCTTTATCCTAATCTTAAATCATCTCTTCTTTCCGTAATGCTGGATGAAGAAACACTTTTCCTACAGTGCAGCGCTCATTAAATTCAAATTTTTTTGTTCAAGAGAGCCTTATATTCAGATGCAACTGCAGTTTCTACCTCCACCTATCCTTTCCAGTAAGTGCTGTTCACCTTGAAGACGTCCCTTGATCTCAGCTCTGCCTTTGTACAAAAGGAAAGACGAGGTGACAAGTGATCTCCCTTAAATATGAAGCATCCAACCTATTTAGTTTCTACAAGGAATTTTTGGAACCATTTCTCTGCATTACCTAGGCTGGGAGTTCTCCTCATACATCCTCTCCTTCCCTTCCTTGAAGAGGCTGATGGTCTGCTTGGTTTTCTTCATCAGGTTCTCCATGAACACCCGGAAATACTCGTTCTCCCCCAGGGTCTCCATCTTGCCCTCGTAGCGGGACAGGATGGTCCTCAGGTGCTGGTAGGTGTCAGGCAGCAGGTCCAGGATGTAGGGTGGGCTGTTCTTCAGGGCCAGCTTGGGGTTCTGACACAAACGCACCACCTGTGCTCAGGGGAGAAAACACCCTTTTGAAATCAAGTGACCAGGAGCTCAAACACAGTTCAGCGTCAAAAGTCCGAAATGTTCGCTCTCAAACCGCGTTTCTTGGTCAAGTCCAGACAGAATCACAGAATCATTTGGGTTGGAAAAGGCCTCCAAGACCACCCAGGTCAACTTGTGACCCATCAGCCCCTTGTCCCCCAGCCCAGAGCACTGAGTGCCACGGCCAGTCCTTCCTTGGACACCTCCAGGGATGGGGACTCCAAACCTCCCTGGGCAGCCCCTTCCAGTGTTTGACAACTCTTTCCTTGAAGAAATTCCTCCTGATGTCCAACCTGACCCTCCCTTGGCACAAATTGAGCCTGTTTCCTCTCATCCTGTCCCTTGTTCTCTGGGAGCAGAGCCCAGTTTTCCCCTGGCTACAACCTCCTTTCAGGTAGTTTTAGAGGGTGATAAGGTCTCCCCTGAGCCTCCTTTTCTCCAGGCTATTTTCTCCAGACAGTCAGCCCAGCCACCATAAAAGACTCCAATTTCTGGACTGAAGAGCCTCTGGACTGATGAAACTCATGACAATAAATTTCTGTGGCAGGGGAGGATAAAGGAAGCCACTTCACCCCCTGTCACAGCCCAAATTTTCCATTGCCTAAACTGAGAGAATAATAGGGAGAGCTGATGGCAAAGCAGCAAACTGAAAAATTAAGCAGTGCAGTTTCAGTTATAAAAAGGGCTGAAATTAGAGTTGTGAGGTCAGTTTTAGATCAAGCTTATAAGAACCAGCAGCTGGGATAGTTTTAGTGGCTCACACTTCTATGTTCCGTGATTTACAGTAAACTTGGGAGGAAGCACAGCCCAAATTGTAGTTACAGTTTCCTATTCTTCGCTATAATGAATGTTAAACAGGTCTAAACTCAGGACACTGCCACGTATGAGGGAATTGCAGGTATCAAACAACACAAAACTGAAGTGCAGCAGACAGGAAAAGGCAAAAGAATAATTTAACATCCTTTTGCAGCACATCATTTCCACAAAACCTTGTGAAACCTTCAAGAGGAATTGAGCAGTTCCCTACAGTGGATATTTAAATACCTACTTCACTTAAACACTGATGGTAAACAGTCAGTTCTTCTGAAGCAGCGTTTTAGCATTTAACTGTGTGTGCAAAAAGCAACCTGGTGAAGTGACATCTCCAATTCTACCTGACTTGCAGCAGTGCCCCTAACAAGAGCTGACTGAGAAAGGTTCCATTTCAGCCCAGAGAAAGGCACACAGTGTACCAAAAGCTCCAACAGGAAAAAAAATCAAACTGCCATTGAAAAAAGCCTCTGCAAGAATACATGGGGGAAAAAACAAACCACCAAACTTTCCCCTCCATTTTGCAGAGGCTGCCAAGGATTAGGAGGTCTAGATAAGGAGATGGATGGCCAGACAGCTGACTGAGTCAATTGATGCTGATGCCTCAACTGCTGCTTCCTTGGAGCCTGTGAACATTGTACAATGAACCATATCAACAAATTGAGTCAACACATTTGTCCCCTGGAAAAAAAAAAAAAAGTAGTTTCACTCTGCAGCATGAATAGGTTCTAAATATGCTCCTCAGACACAGCTGAGTTGTGCTCTGGGGTAGCAAAACCTTTTTCTTCAGCAGAAATTGTTTATTCCACAGTGGGTTTAAAACCTTAACAAACACAGTCAGCTCTTAGGAGGAAGCCACATTAAGCAAGCAAACAAGTCAGAGTATGCACTTCCCTCAGCCATCTGAGAGAGCAGTTTGGCTGCTACCCTTTGAAAATACCCAGCTCTGGAAGCAGCAAACCCACTGCACTTCAGTCATGTAACGGGCTTTGATACCAATCAGAGCAGTTTCCCCACAGCAGAAGCAAGTTCTGCAAACTGCTCCTTCTCAGAGCCCCCAGCAAACACTTCCCGAGAAGTGACTCGCAGAGATCCCTCCAACAGTTAACAGAGAGGTCAAAACTGCTGCTATTTTATTATCAAATCAGCTTCTTTATTTACCAAGCAGAGCAGAATTAGCTAAGATAAGCAGCTGAACAATGCTGCACGACTGGGAACTGCTGCCTCTTGAGCAAACTTGGTGGTTTTATAACACAGCAGCACCAAAAGCAGTCGCGTTGTGCTTCTTTCTCTAAGTGTGCACTTGCAGCATCGTGACAGAGCCCAAAGGAATGTTCCCAGCCCTGGGAACAGCTGCCCCTCAGCAGCCACCCAGCCTTCCACAGGGACCAGCAACGTGGAAGGAAATGGAGCAAAAAGCAGCAAATATTTTCTACTAGGTGTGATGGCAGCAAAGAGAAGCAACCCCTGCTTTTAAATTATCAGCCCAACGCATCCAAGTTTGCCTGGCTTATGCTTTGTTCTCTCAGGAGCAAGCCTTTTTGGGTTTTTAGACGTGCCAATAAAGCACTGCAAGCTTAGCATTAACATTCTAAGAGGTGTAGCCTTTTCAAACCCTAAAATTGAAATTATCCGCTCAATTTTCCAAACTCGAGAGCAGAAAATAATCAAAAAAAAAACCAAACAGTTTCCCCAACTCAGTTTTGAAGAAAGAATCTTCAAAACAGGAGGAAAAACAATCAACAATCTCATCTAGGTCTTGGAGGCCTGGAATTGAATGTTTCCCTTCAAGAACCTGCAGTCCCAGGCCTGACAAGCATCCAGGTGCTGCTGTCCCAGGTAAGATTTTCCCTTCCACGCAGTTCTGAAAATTTGTTTTTCCCTTCTTTTAACAGCTGAATGACCGACTTTACTGAAATCACACCTCATTTCAGCTTAAGCCAACAGCAGAACAAAACCTACTCAAACATCTCTTATCTCCTGCTGAATTTGTGTCTGGCCTCTCTTCCACTTCCAGTGAAGGTGACCTGCAGTGGCACTTCTCTATAGCAGTTCTAGGAACTGAATGGCATCAGAAAGCTGTTTAGAGAAGCTTTATCTCAGAGTTCCTCTTCCTCCTCCGTGTATTCTGTCATTCCTCTGCTCCCTCCCTTCCACCTCATGACTAACCCACCTATTCCTCAAATTCCACCCACAGCAACCAACTCCAGTGGGCTGCACTTAATCACTGCTCTGCAGAGAAGTGCATAAATACCACCTCATTCAGCTGAAGGTGAACATCCACAGGGATGGAAAGGGCTATTTTATGTCCATGGGGCCACGTGGAGCTGTGGGAGGAATGGTTAGAGCTGAGAAAAAAAATCAGGACTTCAAATGAAAGAATCTGAAAGACATAAAATACGTCAGGCAGCTTATGGAGAACATTACAGGGGAAATATTTGGACAAGAATCAACTTGCATAGGAAATTCATCAGTCACATCCCAGAGCAGAGATGCACAAATGCTTTGACAACCCCAGCTAATTATGCAGGCTGACAAACGAGGCCGTGAGTGCAGTGTACACACACAGACACAGCACGCAGCTCTGCAAGGCACAAACATCATCTATTAAACATGCACACCAGGGGGGTTTTATATCTGCACCTGTAATTCCAGAAATCTAACCCATTTGCAACACCTTCCATTCACTTAGCCCTTCTCACCACGAGCTTTACTGGGAATTTGCTACCCCACTAAAAAGAGTTTGAATTCAGAGGTGTTCTCCTGAGCGTGCCTAAGTACAGCTGTGGTCTAACTGAAATCTGAAAGGCTTTCCACAGCCAAATCTTTCCTCCTGTACAAATCACACCGAACAACTAACTCTTTAAGACTTTAAGCCTCCATCTAAGGGCTTTTGGAGGCTGCCTACGAGTAAAACTGGAGTAAGTGCACGTTTAAAAGAGGTTTAACTTGTGACAAATACAGCAGCAGCCTTTTCTGTCAGTGGAGAGGGGACAACAACAACAACAAAGTTCTGAAGCCGTGAAATATCCCCCCCAAAATCCCACTGCCTTTCAAAATGCCAAGGCAATCAGCTGTTTTTTTTCAGGCCCACTTTTTCCTCTGAACAGGTTATGAGGTCAAAGACAGGTTGACATTCATACCCATATATTCTGTATATGAAGATGTGCATCCTCACAAGTTGCATGTGCAAGTTAGACCTCTTCAGGACCCTGTTTCCATGCTCAAACTCCCTTTCCCACATTAGCACTTGTGCTTGCCCTCAATGGCACTTTCTCAAAAGGCTTTTTTTCCTCATCCCAGTCTCACTGTAGGTGATCAAAGCTCATCACAGGCACAGCAAGGCACAACCATAAACCCTGCCTTTTGTGGAGCCAGCCAACACAAAGTGATCTCTTGGCATGAATATAATTTCATACAGCCTTTAAAGAAGTCATTTGCTCTGCCTGCTTTTAGCACTTACTGCAGGAGGCTCAGACACTGCATGGATAAACAATGCAGGGAGAAGAGAGGGAAAGGAGGAAATGCATAAGCCTGCAGGGCAACTGGATGAGGGATCCCATCAGCCCTGCCTGCTGGGAAGAAGGTGGCCAGGTGACACTCCTCAAGGACTGTGGGTGAGCCTTACTCTGAACCCAGTGCCATAAAACACACTGCAGTGTGTCAAGCCCAGCCTTGATCTCAGGGCTGCACAGCAACATCAGAGGATCAGCCAAAATCCTGCGAAAAATGTCACATTTTTGTTTCATGCCCACTTCTGTGCACCCACACTCACTCACTGGGCCATTCCCTGAGATCTCCCCAGGGTTTCCTAAAACACTGGATTTACCAGCACACCTAGCCAGGCCAGGGAACCAAATGCCACATCCCCTCACACCACCAGGCCAAAAGGTCTGGTGTCCTGCCCCCGGCAACAGCCACTTCCTGGCGTTTTAAAAGGAGGAGGAGGAGGGGAGAGGCTTAATGACCCCAGAGAGCTGTGCCCCTCCTAAAGGTGTGGGACTGGAAAGAAAGGCCTTTCCCATTCCCACACCACAAGTTGTTCGTTGTTTATGTTACATTTCGTGCTCCTTTTGTCTGTGTAACTATGTGTATTTATTGTAGAGGGTTTGTTTCATGTTTTGCTTCCCAGTTTTAAGGGAAAGGTTTTGCCCTGAGCTCAGCAACGTGTCCCTGTCCATTCAGAAAAGAACAGCCTGACCTGCCCCAAAGCAGGTGCTCAGCTCCACCACCCAGGCTCTGTCACAGGTCCAGGCTCACCTTCCAACCAGCAAATCCCGGGATTTCTCCCTTGTGCAGTTACACACAGGCAGGACCTGCTGCTGACACCACCTGCAGCTCCCCACCAGGTCCTACCCATTCCCAGCACCACCAGTGCCCAGCCCAGCACCTACAGGATTATCATGGGATACCCTGAGGTGGAAAAGACCCATGAGGAGCACCCAGTCCAACCCCTGGCCCTGCACAGGACACCCCAACAATCCCACCCTGTGCCTGAGATCG